TGTGTGTGTGTGTGTGTGAGTGTGTGCTTAAATACTCTCAAAAAAATATTTCTTTATGGAAGAATAAAGGTTGTGCTCTTTTTTTAACCAACTAATGGGCTGCACTCCAAATGCAGCATGTGGAACCCAGTCTGAGCTGTTGTATAATAACATTTGGGCTTCTTGCCTTCTTTCTAATGTAGCTAAAAGGTACAGAAAGAATTTCAGTGGTGCAATGTAGTGAACAGCAAATTATGAAAGTTATACTATCAAATAATGTATTTTGTATTCATCTGAACACATAATATCCTTCATGTGTTTTGTCTTATATTTATATTATATATATATAAAATCCACTGGTGCAACATCATAATAAGCTTTGCTAAAAGAAAAGAGAATTGTAACTGTAACTTTAAGTCACAAGTATATTCTCTAAATCCTGAGCTACTGCTGCGGTTATTCATCAAACCAATATACTGAATGTATCACTAACAACAGAGATTACTCAGGTGAGTGCCAACGGATATCAATGTCCACCTGCGAACACTGAAGCAGTGCATGGTTTTAGTTGGTGCCACTGTAAGGCAAATAAAGAAGGAGATTATGTGACTCAGCACAAACACAAGCACAGTGACCCTCTGAACATAACAAATGACTTGTGGATATATCGTATTATTTATGCTAGCAAGGGTAGGGGATGTTTTTTAATGTATGCTAGTCATAGAATGTGTCCACATAGCCTGCAGCCTTTTCAGTCACCAGCATGTTTTGCCCCAACATGTGAACCTGAAAACAGCCTCACCATGTAAACAAAGGGAGGTTTTGCCAGATTTAAGGAGGTGTTCATGCATTATAACAACAGCAGCTTGATAAGACCTCAGGCATTGCTATATTTGTGTCAGGGAAATATGAGGACAGCGATATTAGCTAGTATCTGAGACAATCCAGCAAGATTGAAGTATAAAGTCTGCAAATTTGGAATTTCTTGAAGATGGAAGTGCTACCATGGCTCATTGATTACACCGTTGCCATGCAGAGTCCTCAACTCTGATTGTCTGGAGAACAATCGTTAAACATCCCCTACCCTTGCTAGCATAAATGGTAAGATACATCCACAAGTCATTTGTTATGTTTATAGTGCTATTTTCTGATAAATGCACGGCTCGGATGTAGCATAATGATCACCTACATTAATGTAAATATGGAGATAAGTTTCTATCTTGACGATGTTAATTATTTTATTTTACTCTACGTAGCATTTTATGTAAATTAGTTGTGAAACCACACCGTTTTTGAATTTACTGTACCAAAAACACATGTTTCTCAGATAGCTGTATGACATCAGTCTGAATAAACCATTTCAATACTTTTAAAATGTGTGTAATTTGAAAAGCTGGAAAAGCTTCATTCATCCATTAAGACATCAGTTGTCATATTCATCTAATCCAATTTGGTCGAAGTATCCTTAAGCAAGAGTCTCAACACCTACTTGCTCACTCAGTGAACGTCACCCTGGATCAGCATCAACATACATGAGTCCATTAACAAATATTCTGGCACACACACCTTTCTCAGCAGGTTGTTTGGGAGCTTACCTGTGGCCGTGGGTGTCCTTTAACAATACACTGAAGCACTAGTGTGTCTCCTTCTTTGATGGTGTAGATTCTCTCACTGATGTTATCATCCTTGACGTTACACGCTTCGCCTGAGTGCACGATCTGGGCGTTGGCTGGAGCTATGAGTGAACGCATGGACACACACACATGCAGACACAGGCATGTAGCAAAGGGGACATACACACACATACACACACAAAAACACAGAGGGAGAGAAACCACATTACATATTTAGTAACATCTCTGCAGAAAAAAAAAAGGTCATTGTCTTGTGGGTGCATGTGTAATACTAGTGCTAGTATCGATGACACAGATAAATAAATGTATCTTATGTTACTCTGCATCTGCATGAAAAAAGCCTTTTGAAAAAAAATGCTTGAGCGTTATGTGTGTCAGTGTTTGATGAGAGATGAAGGCATTTATTGGAAAATTTAAACTTTGGTCTCCATTAGAAGTCTAAAAGGCTGATTCTTCCCTCTGGGACACTGCTTTTGTCGCATCCAGTATAGAGTGTGTGATAACAACGTTCTTACAAGTGAAGTGCACGTCACTCAGAACAAGATGGGTTTAATGAAGTCTTGGTTGATATCTGGATGCTTGTGTCAGACTGTGCAATATCAGTTTTGAAGCATGTCAGATGGCGGGGCCAGAGAAGGAAGGGGCAACATTGAATTGTCAATTTTGCAAAGCGCGTTTGAGGTTCAAACAAAATGTAGCAGCATAATGCTAACTTGCCATTTTTATTCTGCGTCATTTCAGGTTGTATTCAGACCTGGCTGTTTAGTAAACTCGGGCCGTAGCAACAGTCACTTTGGGCAGCCTAAGAGTGTGTTCAGAAAATTCACACTTGAGAACCAAACATTGGGTCGTAAATTGTATTGTTCACTTTACTCATTGGACTACGTTTTGTCATAACCAAAATTCAGGTGGGATCTTCTCAAATCATCATATTGAAATGATATCAACATATTGCCTAGAGCTCCATACTTGGGTCTTCCTTACAACAGTGAAGACACAACACGCCTTTACGGCAACTGCAGAAAGAATGAATGATAGATGCATGATGGAAGATCTCTTCAGCGGCGACGACTACAATAACAGAGTGTGCACAACGCTGACCCGTGAGGAGGGTTGGCTTGCGTGCGAGAAGCCTCAGATGGCTTCACCTCCCATATGATGAAGGGAGACAGGAGCAAGAGGGGGGGAGAGACAGAGACAGGACGAGAGAAACAGCGGGTGAAAAGGAAAAGGCCAGAGAGTAGTGTGAAACCCCAGACAGAGGGGAGGGGGACAGGGGGAAGCACAATGATGTGATTAGCATCGATTCACAGGGGGAACAAATTTTCACTGTGCTCTACAACTGTTATCATTGAAGAGACAGGAAGCGAGGGGGCGGCCCGTTCACCTTAAACATCGACTCGATCAGACATTACAATGCACAGCGCGATCACGAGACAGAAATCAAGTTCAAAATAAAAGAAGCTCTCTGAATATGTCGCAGCATATTCTCTGATATGGAACAAGCTGGAGCTGTTAATAGCTTAAGGTATTGGGACATAGCAAGTGTGCCTGTCCACTTATATCTGTACATTTGAGTGACATTGCCACTTTACTACAAAAGGGATTTTTTTTTGCTCTTTTATGAAACAATGAGACAAGAAAAGAGACCTACGCTATTGTCTTTTGGCTGCATAAAAAAAAGGTACTTACAAAACACTACTTACTACATACTTGTAGTAATAAATGTCTGCTAAAGTCAGAGTATAATGTAAAAAATGAGCCTCCTGGTATAAAAAATAGGGATTTTGAAGATCTTAAGAAAATACCACTGCATATCTGCAACTTACTGTAAGTGACGACTGAAAACAGTCGGCTCCATATTTATCCTCAGGTATCATCTCTTTTGTTCTTATTTTCTGAAAGTGGATGTTTTGGGGAAGAGAGAAAGCAAGAGCGTTTGTGGTATGATTCCCAAAATGTCGAATGCATGTTTGCATTCCTCTGTTTGTGTGTACTTCAGTGAGTATGTGTCCGTGTGTGTATGTGTGTACTGTAGAAATATGTGTGTAAATGCCTGTTTTAATATAATACTTAATGCTCCGCACTGTTGTGTTTGCGGGGCTCATCAACGGAGCAGTCCATCATTCACTCTTTCAGACTTTTCATTATTATTTCAAAGACCTCTTTGGCATACCATTTCTTTACCAAAGTATAGCATTATATACGCATACATGCAAATATGCTCATACTCGCAAAACATGCATGCTCCTGCACACATGTACTGTAGCTACACATGTACGCAGCACGCCTCACTACAGTTGCAGCAGCAAAAAGGTTGTTTTGTTGAGCTCTCTACTTCTTGCTCTGTTGCCCTTCTCTATCCTCTGTCTTAACCTCAGTGTCTCTGCAGCACATGGTGTCTGACCAAGTGGAAAAAGTTCAAGTGCACTTGATGAAAAACCCCCGAACACATTCAAAAGTTGTGAATATAAAGTTAGATTTTATATGCTACTGTCCAGGATGTAGAAGATTGGAGATTTCAAATTATTTAGTTTAGCCATTTAAATAAACAATTTACTAATTTAACCAAAACTGGATGTCTGACTTCCTTTTCAGCCAGCACTCGGCTTCATATTCGTACACTTTATGTTTATATTCACAAACATGGAGGGCCTAGTATAATTACAGTCTTCAGATCCAGTGGAGCAGTTGGGAGTTAAGTGTCTCGCTGAGGGGCATGTTGATAGCAGTCGATGTGAGAAGGGAGATCATGTCTTTTTATTCATGTTGCCTGCTCCCAGATTCTCTAAGTTATCATTATTGTTGACCAATGATCTTCCAGTAACAAGCAACCTCTAGGCCAAAGCGTGGCTGGAGCAAATCTCTATGAATCAAAACGCAACCAATGAAGGGATAAAAGCATTAACAACACTATGTGAGTTCCAGAAGTGTGCAGCACTAACTCAGAAAGACGGACAGCTGATATAAATGGTGAATAATTGTCTCCTTACAGCTTATTGGCTTGTCGGCATTAGTTTGCCTCTCCGGAGAGGGAGGGAGGTCGAACAGAGCGGCTCCTCTGTCTGCTCTCGCCTTCGGCAGCTTGGCTGCTTCAACTGTCTGTTCGAGTAGGGAAAGGGAGGCCGAGAGAGAGGACGAGACAAGAAAGGCAAAAGAGAGAGGAGGAGGAAAGAAAGGCAATAGAGAAGACGTGCAGAGAGAGGCGGGAATGAATGAGAGAGAGAGAGACAGGAGGAGGAAAAAAAAGAGGGAGAGAGAGAAAAACAGCGGACAGGAAGAGGGAAGAAACTAAGAGAAAAGAGAGAATACAAAAAAAGCAAAGCTGAAGTATAGACAAACAGTAGAGGCAAGGAGAGATTCAGAAAGAAAGAGAGTGAGAACGAGGAGTAGGGCCAGAGAGACAAATTAATGTAACCAAGGGTTTGATATTAAAAAAAGTGATAAATGGGAAAGGAGAAAGAAAAATTGAGAATAGAAGTAGATGGTAATGATAATCCCAAAACAGAGAAAGAAGTAGGTAAATGTAGTCGGCCAAAGAAGAGAGACTGACAGCTAGGCCACAGAGGTGGGATGGATGGAGGCGGCACTGCACTCAAAAGCAAAACAAAGGAGTGATGCAAACAAAGCACGTGGACTCGAACTGTTACACCACAGAGACTTTCACTCAATCTTCTCCTCGCACATACAGAAACAATCACACGGTCTACCTATCCTAGCTAACCGACATTTAAACACTTTGTAACATTTCCAAATATCCGCTGAAACAACATGGTGTCCGACAACTTGGAATGCATCCCCACATGTGCATAATATTTAATATATAACAGCATTCATTGCTCAGTTCCTTAGCAACGCAAAATAAACATCACAGGTGAGTTTACACACTTGCTGACTAACTTATTACAAAGCAGCAAGATTGTCATGACTCAGTCAGAATCAATTAGCATGACAGAAATAGTGTGAAAATAACAAAATATTCTTTATACGTTCATGTTGCTTAATTGGTAGCCATGTAGGCACAGAAATAGAATAGCAGCAGCATGGAGATGAAACTGTTGGTAATTTGAGTAGTACAAAAGTAAATGGCAATTGTTGTTAGCCTGCTGTTCTGCTCATTTTCTGTAACCAGTGCGGCATTTAAGCATCGCTGAATTAGCAATCTAGCTAGCTAGTCAGCCAGCTAGCTAGCTAATGTACATTTTGAATGTTTGAAAGCTATTTTATTTCTCTGCTGGTCGGCTTCTGTGGAGGGTCTATTAGGGTTTAAAATACAGAACATCCAAATATACATTCATGCCATGAAGCAAATTAATATCTTAGGATTCACCATGATTCTGAAAAAATCTGATGATGCTGTGACATTTGAGTTTTAATTATTTTTATCAACAGCAAAAACAAAACATCCTAACAGGGTAACAACACAGCAAAGGAATCAACTGCCTCAATCAGGCCGAAGCCTGAAGCAGAGGAAGAAACACTGGCACAGTGTTGTGTCCAGAGGTGCATCAATTCAGTTAGCGTGGAAGACGATCATCAGTCATAGAAAGCTGCTGTTTTGACAGCAATCTATCCAACTCTGATGATTCATCGATCAAAACTGTTCCAGTGAATGCTGATTGAAAGTGTTGTCCATGCATTATTGGAAACTTTCTGAGACATTCAATGCACATTAGTTGTAAGTGAAACATAACTATCGGCAAATGCCTCGTCTGATTAATTGATTCGTCACCGCCTGCCATGTTTGTTTTTGTTGAGGGGACAGGACATCTCTCACGAAAACTAATGATGAGACAAGAGAGCTGGTGTCAAACGGCAGTGACTGCTTGACGGAGTGCTGAGCAGCGTGTGTGTGGTTGTGCTTGAAAGAGTGAATGAGATTGGGGGCGCGTGTGCTGTTGATATGCGAGCGTACATACATGCATATGTCAATGTCTGTGTGTGTTGCTATGCGCGTTATACTGTATCTCGCCGGAGGAATCCCGCAGAAGGTCATGAATCCTGTCGAACACGAAGACACGCCGAGCATGATTGATATGCGTAGTTACTTTATGGGAGCTGCTCATGCATGCCGATGAGCTCTGTCTCAATTCACTTCATT